TTGTCGTTTGATTGACTTGCTTACGGTTGGGGTCCAACTCGTATAAAAATGTATGCGCTCACTAACTGTATGTTGCTCTGGATAAGAGTGTCTGCTAAATGATGTTAATGTACAGGCTCTACAAGCACTTTGCCCACTGAGCAAATGGCCAAAAGAGGCTTTTTTTTCTCCAATTATTGTTTAATAGAGACTAATGTATTATGACTACAGTTCTGTGGTGTTCCTTCTGGAGACGCATCAGTGGGGACAGGAGAGAGAGAGAGAGAGAGACAGAGACAGAGAGAGAGAGAGAGAGAGAGAGAGAAGAGAGAGAGAGAGAGAGAGAGAGAGAGAGAGAGAGAGAGAGAGACCGAGAGAGCGAGAGAGAGAGACAGACTAAAGATGAGAGATAGAGAGCTCTAATCTAGTCCTTTGCTCTCTCTCTCTCTCTCTCGCCTCCTTCTCTCTCTCTCCCCTCTCTACTATCTCGTCTCTTCTCTCTCTTTCTCTCTCTCCTCTCTTTCCGTCTCTCCTCTCTCTCGTCACTCTCTATCTCTCTCTCTCTCTCTCCTCTCGCTCATCTCTACCTCTTCTCCCTCTCTCTCCTCCGCTCTTTCTTGTCCCTCTTCCTGTTACTCTGTGTTCCTCCTTGAAAGGAGGAAGGGAGTTGACTAATTACACCAGAGGCTCCTTGACCAGAAGCCGTAAATAACCATCTGTTGTCTGTCTGGTACCACTGTACTGTACTAATGTCCTTCAGTAACCTTTTTCTAAAGACCAAAAACATCCATCCACTAACTGTTCACTCTGGGGAAAAGTGTTTCAGATTCAGAAAACGTTAATGTCCTCAGAGAGGCAATTCATTTTGCAGCAGTCATAAAACAAACCACATATCAAAATAAATAAAAAATAGCAAAGGATATTTACAAGCAAATAGGCAGGGTGAGGGCAGTTTCATAGCGGAAGTGCTAAGTGCAATTATCCAACATTTTGTTCGTCCTGACTATCTTCCCCAGCCAATTTTTCTGTGCAACCTTGATGTTCCCAAACCAGCAGGTCAAGCAGTAGTACAGAATGCTCTCAATTAATGATTTATAGAAGAGAACCACGACGGTTAGATCGTTATTGAAAAGGTGCATGTTTCTGTAGAAAATGCAGTCTCTGTTGGCCTTTCAGTACGCTGATCCCAGGACGGCTTGTTGTCAACGACCAGCCTAAGGTATTTGTACTCCTCCGCTATTTTCGATTGGGTTGACCTTTTATCAGCGACGGTGTGTGCATGGTAGCGTTCCCTTCCAAAGTCGATCACCGCGTCCTTTTTTGTTTTTTGATGCATTTCGATTTTTGATGGGGATGACTCACACCAGACATAGTACAATCATTCAGAGCCGGTCCGCGCTCCCCATCTCATCCCCTTTCGTGGAGACTGACCAAAGCAGTGCGGTCAGCGTATTTGATCAGGTGGCGCCCGCGGCAACCGGCTCCGGGCAGCTGATAAAAGCGGCAAGTCCGAAGTCTCCTCTTCAGTCCTGTCCGTGAGGACCGACGGATTGATTGTGGTTTAAACGGCCCCAGGAGAAATCTGCCAACGTGATACGCACGTGGGTTTTTACTGCCCTCCAAATGACCGCCCACCAGATGTAAGAGTGAGAGGATGGCGTCATCTTGTTCCTCTCTCTGATCGGTTTGCAGAGTCAAGAAGGTGTTTGGTGGTGTTGATGATGTATGCCTTGATGATCTTTTCAAGAGATTTTAATCAAGAGAGAGGTAAGAGTGACAGGTCTGTAGTCATTTGATGCAGATGGATGAGAGGTTTTTGGGACGGGTAAAACAATAGATTTTTTTTCCTTAGAGATGGAATTTCCAATGTATCCAGGGACCGCTGGAAGAGAGAGCAGAAGACACCGCTCAGCTGAGTGGAACAGTGTTTCAAGACACGACCACTTATGTTATCAGGCCCTGGGCTCTTTCGTGCTCCAGTGCATTTGAACACTCGTTGTACCACTTCCTCATTGATGACAAGCGCGCTCTTGGTTGCCATGACATCCTCCTCCAGACAGGCCGGGGGAACGGGGCCGCCCCCTGCTTCAAAGGAGGTGAAGAACTCGTTCAGTTCATTGGCTGTAGAGAGGCACACCCTCTCGCCCGGGCAGGGATCGATACGTTGCCTCCCTTTGAAGAGGGCGTTTGACATTTTCTTAATACCCATCCAGGCAGACCCAGAGTCTCCCTGTGACATTATCTGTTGCACCTTGTCCTTGTACTGGAGAGTCTCCCTGAGACATTATCTGTTGCACCTTGTCCTTGTACTGGAGAGTCTCCCTGAGACATTATCTGTTGCACCTTGTCCTTGCACCGGCATCTCTCCTTTTTAATCTCTTTGTTCACCTCTCTCTGTACCTCTTCTTTGGAGTGGATTCCCGGGGGGCAAACACTTCTTTCTTCTTGTTACGCACCAGTTTAACTCCATGGTTTGTTGTTAGGAAATATTTAACATGATTTTTTAGGGCAGTGGTTCCCAACCTTTTTTCCTTGGAGCCCCCCCAACTTGTATCTAGAAAAAGCTGATGTAGCTCCCCTTTTGAAAATTTTCCAACTCTGTACTCCAGTTTCTTCACAAAATCGCCGGGAGCGTCTTTGCACTGCTTGACGTTTGATTCAGGACCCTGCATCCGCTTGTTTGTCTCATTGTAGAGAGTGAATGTATCCGCTAGGTATGCCGTTTTGATCCAAATTGCATCAGTCAGCTGTTCGCACAGTGTGGTCGATTGTGATCTTGCAAGATGTAGCATGCAGTGGAAAATTGCACACCCCGGGGCTTTTTCCTTAAATCGTCTGTTAATCTCCCTTGTTTTTGCCCATCAACGCTGCAGCCCCATCAGTGCAGCATGCAACAATATTCTCGTAGGGCAGATTGTTGGACGAGAGATATGAGTCCATAGCTATAAAAATATCTTGGCCTGTTGTTGTTGTGGCTAGATTGGTAGACATAAGAATGTCTTGTTTCAAGTCATCTCCGTCACATAAACGATGAGCCTGGATTCGTCTGACACTGTTGTTGTTTCATCCAACTGAATGGCAAAGGGAACGTTCCTAAGCTTCTCGTGCAGCTTTGGTTTTGACAATCTCCAGCCATTATATCAATTCTGTCTTTGACAGTGTCGTCTGAGAGTGGGACGGTTCTCACTTTATCCACCACCTGTGGGCCACACAGCCTCTCTACAATTTTCAGGCAGGCGGGTTTGATTAGCTGCTCTCCAATGTTGTGCGGCTTTTTAGCCTTGGCAATTAATAGCGAACACTCAAATGACGTCTCCGTGGCTATGTGTAAATCACTGCCTGCTCTTTCAAATGTTTTTTTCTGATGTCTGTGGATCTTTTTGATAGTGCCAACTGCTTCTTCCTCTCAAAAACATCCTGACCGTCACCAACAGTCTCCTGGTGTTTTGTTTCCTGGGTGTCGTTGCATTTTGCTTGGCTTCATGCTGTCATTAGCAGGTCCCCTGTAGCTCAGTTGGTAGAGCATGGCGCTTGCAACGCCAGGGTTGTGGGTCCGTTTCCCACGGGGGGCCAGTATGAAAATGTATGCACTCACTAACTGTAAGTCGCTCTGGATAAGAGCGTCTGCTAAATGACTAAAATGTAATTAGCTAGCTTCTCGCCACAAATGACACATTCTGTCCGAGTCCTGTCCTGTCCTTCAATAAAACCGAAGTTAAGATAACTCTTGAGATATAGCCTTACTTTCTTTTTTTGATGATGAGTCATCAGCACTTTTACGTTTCTTAGACACGTTGTTTTATTCATAAAACAGTGATGCTCTGACTGCAGGAACAACGAGCTGCTAGCTGAAACTGATTGAGCGCGGGTCATTAAATGTTTTTCCGGTGTCACGATCGTCTGAAGAAGCGGACCAATACGCAGCGCGTGGAGTGAACATGATGACTTTATTAAATAAAGCAACCACGAAAAACAACAAATGACGATAGTGAAGTCCTCTGTAACACTGACAGAAACATGGAACAAAAACCCACAAACCAAGGAGAAACCACACAGTTTAAATATGGCTCCCAATCAGAGATAACGAGCCGACAGCTGACACTCGTTACCTCCGATTGGGAGTCATATGACTAATCCTAGAA